TCTTAGGATATGGTGGAATTAACAGTGCCATGTTTAAAGTAATAACTTGCAGCGATTAAGGAAACCTTGAGTGTCATTGAACCTAGCAAGGATAATTACCAAGTTTGTCTTTAAAATTTGACATTTGTGAGGTGGTTGGGATTTGGTGTTCACCTGTTAAATGCACCAAAACGGGTACTCACATCTTTGGGCGGGAGGAGGCTTACTCTACTGGGATTTACGTAGGGCAGATGAAAGTGATGAATATTTTGACCAGCTTAGGCAACAAACTTAGGTAATTTGGCTCCGAATTTGGGTAATGGGTAAATTAAAACTGCTAGAATCAGCAGTTAGAACTTCATTTTTATTGGTGCGAAACCTAGCGTAAACTCCTCAAAAAACATTATCAGTGCTTCTCATGGTGCCACCCTAAATAACATCGCATACTTATCACCTCTTAAATAGGTTTTAATATCATTTTAGCTCTGGGTAAATTTACAGGTGATGGCATTCCTTCGCCCACTGGTTAGGCTAACCTTCAGTGGAGATGGCTCCAGTCAAATGCATTGTCATAATTTCTTATTTCTAGAGTGAGTCATGGCAATGAAAAGTGGTGCATAAAACATGCCTATTTGGCCATTTAGTGATTGAAAATTAAAAAGCTTTTCAGTCACAAAGGACTTGGATGTGAAAAGGCAAAGTGGTGTTTAAGCAGGCGACAATGAACGCCCTACCTTCAACAATAAAATTGTCTCTTACCTACTTTGACACCACGGCTAATTCATGGCGTCTTCAAACTCCTGAAAGGTCATGAATGAGTTACTCATCATTTGTCACAGAGCCAGTTTTATTGAGCTTAACTTTGTATCTCAAAGTATCTGTCATTGTATTGAATGCATAGCTCAAAAATGTCTGAATGCTTTTCCCTACTAAGTTATGTTTACATACATTGGTACTTTTTTCTACAATCTAGGTAAAGCTATTCCTGCATGCCGTATTATTCTCTGAGTCTCATGCTAACGTGGGCTGGTGCAATCTTGGCAAGAACCTATGATAAAATTTAGTCACTGATGATGAGCATTTCGACAAGGGTGCATTTTGGGATCGAGAAGAGAGAAACCACTCACAAGTTATTTCTGCCTCCGAGACGCGTATGTTTACGCTGAAAGGAGGTCCGTCCCCTTCTTCAAAAGCACAAAACCTGCCAGCTCAAAGTGGGTTAAGGTACTTCCTTTGACATGGATTCGACATCGGTAATAAAGTGACATGGTAAAGATTCTGTTTTGGTCCGAGCACTAAAATGAAATAGTTCTCACTCTTAGCAATTTAGACTGGTAAGATACTTAAGATAAGGTCCGTTATATTAGCTAGAATGCAAAAGAGAAGGTTTTGTTTTAACAGCTAATCTTCTGCTTTACCGTTTATAACAAAGTATCGTGCAACACTCAAGCAGTGCTAACTTGATTTAAGTGTAGGACAACACAGGAGATTGTGGTGACCCGACTAATTTGATTTGGTTAGCATTGGTTACCGAAGGGAACCAAATCCGACATGCAGTCCACTGACAAAATTGGGCGATTCAACCAATAAATGAAAATTCCGTCAGCATACACGGGAGAGAGGCATTGTTAAACAGTCCTGGATTTTAAAATCGTTAATAATAGCAAAAATGCGGAACTGCCTATTAATTAAGGTTCCTTTTGAGTACAAAGGAAAATTGTTCCCTTTTTTAGGCCCTCTTTTTGTTACCACTGATAATTGCTTAAATAAAAAGCATAAGGTATTCTTACAAAAACCCCAAAACTGAGCAGTAATGAAAGGTTAAAAGTGTCTAGCCAGTCTTTGCCTGACTTGACCTTGGTACCTACAGAGTAGAGAGGGCTCCATAATGTTAATATTCCATAAACCAATTGTTTGTCGGTGCTGCAGTGATTTTACCCCCTCAAACAGAAAGGCGGACAGAGAGGATTTGCAAATTCAGTCTGGTAAATTATGCGATGGCATCCACTGTCATTAGCCACAATGAATAATTCATTTACCCCTTCCTCAAATGACGAGCTTCCGTTCAGATTGCTGATACAGGCACTCGGTACCTTGACATCAGCAGGACCTTTTTAATCTGCTCAGTTTTTTGTATTTTATTAAGGATCTTCTAATAACTCCTATGTGACAGTATTATGGCAGAATTTTTTCGTTAAACCCCTTAATTGTTTTATTCAGGTAGCACTTTGATAGGCGACAGTAAACATGCTTTAGTCACGCATTCCAAAGGAGTCCTTTCATGTCTCACGGCGTTCATGACATGCCAATAACATTTTCTAACTTAAAAGTTACAATATCACTTAATAACTCTAAAATAATTTAATCGTAAAGGATGGTAAAAAAGTAAAGCTATGGGAGAAGCAGTGAAGTCTAAATGAAAGGATTGGATAGCTACCTTGCTGTCAGCGCAAATGAACTTCACGGTTAACTTAAAGCGCGTAGACTCAACATCAACATAGTTGCGTATTGTTTTACGACTTTGCTTGTAAATTAACGAATTAGTTTTTATGATTTATGGTAAAGTGGACATGTAGCATAAAGCTCTTAGGCCAGCCAATACAACATTATTTACCTCATGGAAATAAAGTACTTGAGTCTTAATCAAAGCAGGCAAAATGGCATTAAAGTAGTTTGCAGACAAACCTGATATTCTCGAACCAGCAGCTAACCTTTGTCATTTCATGTGGAGTGTGGAGACCTGTGGTCCTGTTTAAGGCATCGGATTCCGGAGCTTTTGCCACTGGATTTACGGCCAATTGCATGACCAGTGTCGCACATATTCGACACGAAATCCAAAAGATTGTCAAAGACTTTTGTGCCAAAGCGGGTCACATGTAGATTGATTCACGTAGAAGCGTTTAAATGAATGCAGGACAATCTTCGTTTGAGGATACCAGCAATTAAGCAGCTGAGCGCCTTTTCAACTGATACAAAAGTTTGTGACAGTTAGTGCCTCACCTGAAGGCCAGCTAGCAAACATGCCGAGTTTGTCATTACGAGACGTATATACTTTAGAATCCAAATTGTAACTTCCAGAAGAGCCAAGTCAAAATGCAAGATGGTATTTGGTTTTGGCAACGGTGACTTGTTGGACGTGCTCATGCTACTTATAATTAATTAGTAAATCGTACAGTATCTGGTGCATTCATTATTTTCCAAATAAAAAAGTACAGCATGATATTATACACATGCCTTTTTTAAGCGTATTTGCTACTAAAGCTTGTATTTAATCCTCCTAAGCTTGCCTAAAAAATAAGCAGAAGTTTGCACACAATTTCGCCTTCATTTAAGAAATTTGAAAGGACGTAAAGATAATAACCCTCTAAATAGGTGATAAATTATTGCCATTAAGCTAAGTTCTTAAAAAGGCACATCATTCAATTATTTATTAGACTTTGGGTTTGAAACCACTTTTACGTAAACACATTAATCGTGGATTCATATCTTTCCCCTCCTTTAGTGATTTGCCAATTTAAAGCAGAAAATAATCGAAAACTCTGAAGACAAGAGTGTTGTTAACTTAGAACAGCTGAAGCTAAAATAGAGCTTTAGGATTTGTGTGTTAGCGTGTAATGTTAAGGGTTCTATGACTCCTTATTTTACATAGTCCAGACGACGATTGGTCGCGATTTTGAGAATAAAATTTTCTTACCTAGCCCAATCAAAAACAATTCCCTTAGCTTAAGTAAGGAAGGCAACTCCATACTTTGGTGTACGATTCTTACAAAAAAGTCCAAGGCTGATAAAAGCTGCTGGTTGCCAGGATTGAGTAGTTGAGGTCAAGCGGTACCCACTGCTGTGGGGTGGAGTAGGCGATCTGCTGCGAGTAAAATACCTGCATAATTAGTAACCACCCAAATGTCATATTCCCACATATTTTTGCAGGAAACAAAGCATTGCGCCTCGATTCTACCAATGACACAACGCCTAGGAAGCATTTTTTCACAGAGGTTAGTCCAACCGCACTAAATTTGCAATGCTTTTTTCTGTATACAGTGAAAATGTAGCTGCAAAGGACATCAAATTTGTAAAAGCGATGCTAGAAATTTCAAGTAAAGAGTTTCGAGTGTCAAAATGAACTTCCAAAAAACGATTTATCATCCCGCAGAAAGGCGGGCCATTTGTATTTCATTTCAGAAATAGCAAGATTTAATAGATAAGCTAAACGATGGACCCATGGTAGCGCTAAACTAGGGCAAATGCAATTAACCCCAAGAAACTTTTCGGTGCCGCATAAGTAGGATTTTGGTTTCAATGACTACAGCAAAGCAAGAATCAAGGCCACAAGGAATGTCAAACATCAATCAGAATTCAATTCATGGGAGATTCTGGATTTGGATCCAAGGAGCCGCTCTTTAAGGCAATGAAAGCGTAGGAAAAGGGAGGAGATGATGAAGATAACCAAGGAGTTACTGGAATAATTTGTTATTAGTTGGAGAATAAGTAGGCCCATGATAACTAAGTGATGACTTTACAGCAAGCACATCAAATAAATCTAATTTTCTGCCCAAAACAA